ATCTCTCTCGCGACAAGACAGGCAAGCCTGCTGCACACAGCTGAGGCCTGAGACTTCCAAGCCGTGACAGACTTCTGCTCGTGATGCCAAGGTGCCAACCTGTCATGACTTGTTTGGCAGAGGATGATGCTGGCTACAGGGGCTGCTCGGCACCGAACGTCTGGACAGCGATCACTGGAAGCTCCTGGCTCAAACTACATTTTTGTGCTGGAGGGAGCGGATGGGCCTGGCATGGCCTTGATGTTCTGCAGGGATCAGCTTCTCGTGCGTGCTCGGCAGCAGCTGAAGATCCGGCCGAGGGTCCTTCAAAAGTTACGACAATGCATCGGCACCAAGAGGCCGCAGAGCCCTCGTGCACGCATCCCCGACTGTCCTCTTCTTGAATGCTGGCCAACAGAGAGGCAGGAGAAAGCTCAGCAGCAATGACCTTCAGCACGATGGTGCAGATCAACTTATGGAACAGACTGCAACTAGAAAACCCACGAAAAGCTTCGGTTTCGAGACTGGCCGGAGGCGTAAAGCATCAGAGAGCGTTGTGGTGGTTTGACATCGGGGCTGACTTGGGGATCGATGCGCGATACAGCTTGTTTTGGCTTCCATGCACAATACCTCAGCTTCTTCCGTAAAATGACACCTGCCAGGCCGTCCGATGTCCTTCAGCCAAGCCGCAAGCAGCTGTGTGGCCAAAGTGGTACCTGAGCATCACCCTAAACCCTAAACCCTAAACCCTAAACCCTAAACCCTAAACCCTAAACCCAAGCATCAAGGCACTGCAGTGGAACGCAAAATGAGGCTCGGGGGTCCTGCCGGAGCCTCTTCTCTTCAGCTTCAAAGACACACGACACACATGCACACCTCAAGCGGCCTGGAAGTTACGTGCACATAAGTACATACACGAGTGTATATATGGGGGTTTCCGAAAAAAGGGGACACCTAAATAGTAGGATCCTTATTATAAGGACCCCAAAATTAGGTACCCCTAGTTATAGGAAACTCCCCGATGCACACATCAAACCGGATGCACCAGACACAGCCCCCAAGCAGCGACATGCACTCGTCAAGCAGCCGCGTCGGTCTCTGAAAACCCTCTCACGGACATGCGAGGCCGTGGCCGAACTCAACAGAGGCAAGGTGCTCGACGCAGGAACCATCCGGGCGCACGCCAGTGCCACACCTCCCCACCTCTGCTGAAATCGAAGTACAACCGACATGATGGGACCTATCCAGCGAGTTTTTGCTCCGTTCCCCAATCCTTGCCCACATTGTTCCTCCCGAATAATATCGCAATCCGAAATGACTGAAAACATGCCAGAGACTCCAATATCCCTTGATTAAGGAATAGACCATCCACTACATCACTTGTGGAAGCCCCCTCGATGCGTCCCTCGAGTGCAGGTCGAAGCACAGGCAGATGGCTTCGCAGGGCCCGGAAGCCTCAGCAGGACCCAGGCGCTTCAGCACTGCCGAAGGGCACAAACTGTCCAAAGTAAGCATAATAACTTTCGTAAGAGCACTGATACTAATAACAATAATGATAATCGTGATCGTAACCATAATGATCATCAGCATCGTCATCTATCATCACCACCATCATTACCATCAACATCATCACCACCAACATGACCATCATCAGTATCATCATCGCCGTGAGAATAGTTATGGTAAGTATTATGATCACCATATTGATGTGAAGAAGGGGACGGTTGCTGAGGGAGCAACCGCAGGACGGCGCAGACCGCCTCGAAGATGGCTTCGGCCTCGAAAATACGTGCACATAAGTACATACACGAGTGTATATATGGGGGTTTCCGAATATAGGGGACCCTCATATAGTACCCTACATAGTGGGATCCTTATTATAAGGACCCCAGAATAAGGTACCCTAATCTTCGGAAACTCCCATACAGATATAGACAATGAGAACAGAACCTGGGATTTTTGGCAAAGTCCCGGCCCCCTGCCTCGGGCATGCCACCGAAAGCCCAGCCGGCGATTCGAACAGCGAAGTCTGGCGACTCACCTCACGGGTGCCTAGACTTCCCAGAGACTCCAAAGGCCCCCTTACATAAAGCTAAAGGGAAGGGGATCCTGCAGGGAATCTGCGAGAGTTCCGTAGCGTGCACGTGCAGGTGCAGATTTTGTTTCCGGTGACCAGAACCGCGAAAATCCTCCCCAGACCCCCTGAATTGAGCTCAACTTCATCCTTTAGTCGGGAACTCTGTCCCAATTTCGGGTTTCGGGTTTAGGGTTTAGGGTTTAGGGTTTAGGGTTTAGGGTTTAATGCGTGAGGGTTTGGTATTGATGATACGTTGTAGATGCTCACCTCACCGAGCGTGATGTTGATATAGTTGTGGTATTGCCAATGCAGAACTCACACGCGCAGTTGTACACAAGTAGAGCGGCGCACCCTTCCTTTTCTCACTCGCCTTGGCTGACGTTGAGTCTTTGCAGTCGGGATTGGCTCTGTCCTCTTTGTGCGTCGAAATGGCAGAAAGGCTG